TCAAACATGCTTTACACAGCAAAATAGATAACTCAGTTTTTTCATCCATGAATCTTTAATATCTAGCCAGAGTTAAATGTTAAAGTGAATTTTTTATCAGCTGAAGCACAGAAGTTTAATGTTACCATTATCTGGAGCCAAAAAGGAAGTAAAAGCTCAAGATAGTGGTTCTTTATTTTTATGGAACTTTTCCTGTTGTTCATTGAAGAGAGAAGAAATTAACAGCTAAAAGCTGCAGCACTTTTAGGCTATAATTTTAATATTTCTGAAAATAACAAGGCAGAAATACGCTAAAGAGAAAATTGTAACACCTTTCTCTGCTGTATTAGTAACTTAGACAAAATAACTTAGAGAAAAAATAACTTTTTTCTTCCTACTACCATAGAAAATTTSGTAAATTTGGTTGGAATGCATCTCTGTAGGTCATCTGATCTAATCCTGYGCTTGAATCGGTACCACGGACAACACTATATAAGATCAGCCTTGATTTTACCCAGCCAAATCTTAAAAATCTCAAAGTGTGGATTTTTCACAACCCATCATAGCAAGCACTACTCCAGCACTATTCTACTCATCTGGTGCTTCAATTTCTTCTCAAATTGAAATCAGAACATCCAAAACCAATGCTTGTGGCCACTGGTAGTTCTCTACTCAGAAGAGTTTGGCTTCATCTTTGCTACTGGGTGCTTATAGGGTGCTCTCCTCTTCACATCACTAAACAGCCCCCAGCTCCCTCAACAACCCTCTAACYTCCATGGGATTCAGGGCTCTCAGAATATGCTGGACCCTCTCCTCAGCCCTCCTGAAGCCAAGGAAYGGCAGCTGGTCAGAATCTTTTAGAAATAATCTATTTTTCTGCTGGCCATGCCTCTCCTAAGATAACCTGGTACTCTGATTACCTGGCTAGCAGTGAGAGTGCACTCCTGGATCCGTGTTCAGCCTGGTGTCTGCAGTAACCCCCAGGTCATTTTCYATGAAGCTGTGATTCAGGTGCTCATAGCCTTTACAAGTGTGTGCAGCTCTTCCAGCCGAGATGCAGACTTCTTACTACACTTCATGAGGTTTCTTCTCGCCAAGTCTTGAGTGTATCAAGATCCCTTTAGAATGCAGATCTGCCAATGGTCATATTAACCACTCCCTCTTAATTTACTATCCTCTTGAAATTTGCTGAGGGTGCACTGTGTGTCATGATCTAGGGCATTGAGGAAGATATTCACTGACGCCCCAGGTATCCTGCCCTCCTCTGCTCATCACTGACCACTTCACAGATGCCAAGAGATGATCACTACCCTTTGAGCCTACTTGTTAAGTCAGTTCCCAACTCAGTYTCTTCTTTTAGTCTGCTCTTCCTCAACTTTCAAAGACTGCTGTGGGGGACTGTGACAAAAGCCTTTCCAGCACCATTGCGTGCAAATGAGCACAGCCATGCTGGGAGAGGCCAACGAGCAAGGTAATACAGCCACAACCCAGGAGAAACCCAAAAGKGTTTCCATCCACAAGGTTTCCAAACCATTATAAACTGTATCATCTTGTCAGCTGTGATTACCTATAGCTCATCCAATACTTCCTCATGTTTGGATGAGAAGCTGTTGGAAGAGTTTTAAAGGGTGCTCCCTGTGTTACAGCTTTTCCTGCCCACAGAAGAGGTGTGAGAAATACCTGCGCAGCCACTCCCCATGACAACTAGGGGAGAAAAGGAATCACCATGTGCCCCACAGCAGATCCCACATGCACATTAGGGGGAGCTATGACATGGGACAGGTATGGCTTTGGAGTCAGCTGTGTTTTAACTCAGCAAAGAGGAATTCCTGCTCAAGGCAGTACTTGTGCTGTGGCACTGCTTGGTGAAGGKCAGCCACTCCTCTCCCCTCATCCAAGCAGTTAGAAATTTCATCAGGACAGGCAACCAGTCTGGACAAGCACACTGCTTTTAGTCAATCTGTGCTGACTATTCCAATTACCTTCTGGGCCCTTAAGTGCCTGGCAAAGGTGTTGTTGAGTACTTCAGCTTTTTTTATATTATCTGTCACTACATCGGCTTTCTTCCTATTTGTCATCTTTTTCCTTCTTCAAATTTTACCTTCATTTTTGAAAGCAGCAYACATCTGCAGAATCATTTTTGTTTCCCTTTATGATCCTTGTAAGTCCTAGCTCAAATCAATCAGCTTTCTAATTTTGTCACTATGTCACCAGAATGCTCTTCGCTCATCCATGAAGGCCTTCTGCTGAGTCCCCCTCCTTTCTGCTCAACAARATGGCTTCTTCCTTAGTTCTCAATAAGTTTTATTTAGAAATCATCCATCTTTCATGGGCCCTATGTTTTTGTGGCAGCATCCCAAGGGATTTTGCTAAGCAACTCTCCAAAAAAGGCTGAAGTCTGCTCTTCAGAAATCTTATCAGCGATAACTTGCTGACTATCTTTCCAGACTTTCTCTGAATCATGAACTAAGCCAGCTCATAGTCACTCTGATCCCCGCTCTTATTTATCAACACCTTTGCCACAAATTCTTCCCCTCTTAGAGCAGCAGGTCAAGCAGAGAATTAATCCTCTTTCTCCTCTCTAGCAGCAGGATCAGGAAATGGTCAGCAAAAAGATCRATGAGTCCCCTGTACTGCCTGCCCAATAATTTAATCTTACTAGAAACTAAAACAAACATGGACTTAGTTGCCATGCGTAATGATACAATTATTTGACAGATAGTTTTTATCTACATTTGATCCAATTTTCTACTAAYCCGAAGTTGTTATTTTATTTAACTTAGAAGGTGATAATTGCTATAAAAATACAGGAAGGCAAAGTTTCCATTCTGAGTGGATTTAAAATAAATCCAGAAAAATCATGAAGTAAATTATGCCCATCACTGATAGCATTTTGCACCAATAATACATGCAACTTACAAAAGTTCAGTAATTAAAAAACAACATTCAGCTTCATTAAAAATTATGGCTGTAGATGATTTGTCACTTTTCTATCCTTTGTGCTCAGATTGGGCTATTTTTTCTCATAGTTTTATTAAATAAAAAGTGACTTGATTTTTTTCAGGCATAGATTCAATATTATACCAAAAATAAAAATTTTCATCAATAGAAACACTTTTGTTAGGMAAAATAGCCATATGTAGGTAAAAAAGACCCCCTTAGAACTGGAATAAACAAAAAAAAAAAGTATAGAACCAAAAAGCAAGAGGAACTGGGCAAATTGAGTTGAATGTTCAACTATTTAAGCTTTACTGATAGATTCATTATCACAAGTAAGTTAAAGGAAAGCTTGTCATCTGCCTCACTCAAATAACTTGTACAGAGATCTCCAAAATTGCAAAAGCCTGTTTTTAGTTTAGAAGTTACTGTTACAAATATTTTTATCTGGCAAAAATGAAAATCTGCCAGAAGTCTAGCAAGACTGGATGGGTGATAAATTTCCTTATGTGAGCACAATGTAAATTAGCCCTTAAAACTATTACAGCAAGAACCAGGTAGTTTTACTGGATAGCACTGCAGTAGTTGGCAAACATCCTAATTATAAAACATTATGTGAGAAAACCTAATTGTAAATGCTGTAATCAAGGTATCTATAGGTTTTACTAAAGTTATCAATGTGATAATTGAATTCCCAAAAGATTTTCTGAATTGGTCAGCAACAAAGATTTCCCAAATATCTTTAATGGCAGACTCATCAGTAAATACTTCCCTTCTGTGATTTTTTTTTCTTTCTTCCTTTTTTTTAAGAAACTAGAAATCAGCTACATAGAACACAAAGAAACACAGGACTAAAAATACTTCTTTGTCACCTTATAATCCTCCTAATGGTTTAGATGGTCTTTTAATTGCCAGGGCAGTTTATCTCCCTTTTTAGGATTAATCCCATCACTTTCATGATGTCCTTAGCTACTATTTACTTTRAAGGCTGCAATGTTTTTTGCTTTTTTTAGCTTTTCAAACTCTTTCTCAGTAATAATAGTGCTGACATCTCACTACAGAATGAGACAATTCAGCACTACAAGCTTATTCACAAAGCCTTCATCCTTGTATCTTATAACCCAGATATTTTAATATTGGTATACTTCCTATAATTGGTATTTGAGAAATTACAAGATTGTTCATGCAGATTTAATGAAATCAATGTTTTAACTATTAACTAAACATGTAAATTCTTGAAACTTTTTGGAGAAAATTCATCCTAATTGAATGTCTCATAAGTTGACAGAAGTCAATTTCAGCTTTGCATCCTCAATCAAAACGAAGGAGAAACTCTTAGCCAAGACAGGKAAGAAAGGTGTGGTTTCCACACGTTTATGTCCTGATTAAACACTGTATCATGATTTAGTTGCTTCGAATCTGTCTGATCCAACAAGTTAAGCAGCTYGAGATAGTAATCACATGCGACAAGAAAAATGAAATGTAAATTAGTGGGTTATGAAGCTGATGAATACATAAGTGGATGAGATTCTATGACTAGCAAGACACAGCAAGTCAGGTTAGAGGMTCAGAACAGCCCCCTCCTAGCACAAAAAAAAAAAAAAAGTAATTTCTCATTTTCTGTGGCATTAGACATTATAATGAGGGCTCATTTTACAAACAGAACAACTTCTGTCTTCTAGGTGAATGGTAATGCTCTTCAAACAAAAAGATAAATACACAGTGTCTCATCAGTGACATTCAGTGTTCATCTAAAACAAGGCATAAAAGAACCCTCCCAGAATTTTCCTGTACTTCTCTTCTACCTTGAAATTAACTACACTGATACACTTCAGCTACTGCACTTCCATACAGTAGTCACAATTCTTTGGGGACTGAAAAAAAAATTGATAGAAATGTACAGAATGCTGTGTTCTATTGGAGATGCACTGAATGCTTTACTTCTGTCCTTGGCGATTGCATGAAAGGTAACAAATGAGGAGAAGCATCTGACCTGGTGTAGTCGTCCTCCACAAGCATGTGCTTTGGAATGGGTGAGTATCTTCCTGGAGAGATAGGGGCCAGGGATGCCTTGTACTCTAAAGTGCCATTATTTCCAGAGAGTATATGATTTTCCATTGGTGGAGAATAAGCTGATGGTAAAAATGAACATTTCTAGTCAGCAACTTTCATGTTTCATTAGGTATAATTTTTTTTTAAGTACCAAGAACATGTTCCTTGCTTGAGAGAGCTTAAAATATAACAAGAAAGAATTAACAGCTACAGTTTTCCTGGAAATAATAAYAACAACAACAACAATAATAATAATAGTCATAATAATAACAACAACAACAGTAACAAGAATTATATTGCTGGCTCATTTGCAGGGATTGACTCATTAGAGGATATTCAGTTCCTGAAAAGGGAGCCTGAGTAAGGTCTACTGTTTGGGAGACAGGAAACATTTTCTTCACTTAGGACTGACTTGAAGGAGGAAATGCAATTAGGGAAGAATGAGATTAAAAGTACACTCCTTTTTTTTGGCTCCAGTGTGCAGCAATGGGAGTAACAGAGTAAGAACTCAGTGCAGGATAAGAGAAGGAATGATATGTGTGGCAAGAATTATGTAGACATTCAAAGCTGTGATCAATTAAATGTGATCAAATCCCCAGTATAATTGAAATTTCAGTTTCAACATAGATGGTGTACAGACCACAGTAAATCTGCATACCTAAAATAGAAAATKGATGCAAATCTCTTACATATTAATGACTAATGATGAAAGTTACAGGACTGTGTTGTCTGTTTTAAATATCGGGTTTGGGAGTTTTGTTGTTTGTGTGCTTTTTTGCTATTCTGAAGTTATCTGGGATATTTACTACTGGAGAGATGCAAAAATAGTTGTATTCTATCACTATTTAATTTAATTAGAAAAATAAATGATAAATAGAAAAAAACAATGTTATGTGCTTCTGCAATGAGTTGTTATCAATCTTGTCATGAGAAGAACACAGCTAAACTTTCTAGCATGACTTTCAGTCTTTTTTTCAGATACTGAGATACAGAATGCTCCAAAGCAGAATCTCTCTACAGGGAAAGGCCATTATGCATTCTGAAATACTCCGAACATGTAGGTATAATGAAAGATTCCCTGARGATAAATAAATCTCTAAGCACCAACAGTTTGGGAAGGGCTACTGTAAATCTTTTCAACCTTTACTGTCCCTCTGGAATTCTTTCTGTCTTCTCATATGCTGCTGATCTATAATCTRACATAATAAACCACACTGTTTCAGAACTCTGAAATTATTATTTTGAAAGTATTATAAAGCTGGAGATTGGAGTGGGACATTTAGCATTTTTACTTCCTGGGCTTTGCTAAGATCCAGRTCAGACTTCTACTGAACAACATGATTGCCATCTGTTGTAACACTTGCTAACTAAATAGGAATCCTCAGCATGGCTGAGCACACCACTGACRTGCATGTTACAAAACCTTCCCTTCTGTTTTTATGGAGCAGTCTGAATAAGGAGGAYTTGGGATTTTTAGCTTTTCCCTCAACTCTGTCTGTCCACAACAGCAACACTGCGAAGGTGTGGAAAAATTTAAATCCTTAGCATTTACTGYCTTTAAATTTCCCAGGTAAATTTCCTTGCCCTTAGTTTGCCTTAAGTGCCCACAGAMTTATTAGTAGGAAATCAAGTGGGGTGTGGATCGATTGCTGAAGCTCTTGTCAAAAATTAAATGGCCATCGAGTGGTGAGATGGTGCAACTGGTCCCTGTTGGYAGGTGAACCCAAGGCAGACACTTTGTAATGAGCATCTAACCATGAAAGGGAGTTTCAGTAATGAAGTGTTTAAACATGTAGGCACCAATGGTATAGAGAGCTGCAGTTGAAATGTTAAGATTACTGAGTGGGAAGGGAATGGGAAGGGAATGGGAATGCCTAGGTATGGACACCAGGAGGACTGGCAGAAAGGTGTAAGAATGGCATGTATCAATAAAGCTAGATCCATCAATAAGTAATTAATAATGCATATAATTACAGTAACTTGTCGGGAAAGCCTACACTCAAACTAAAACAAATAATCAAGCCATTAAAGAGATGATGGTGGGAAATAAAGACTAGGCTGAAGCCTAGGACACACAGATATGGAGACAAAACAGAYGTGAATAAACCCTAAAGACATTAATTGGAGGGATAGATGGCAGAGACAAAAGAAAGAGTCCAGAAAGCACTCCAGCCAGAAGGTTGCCAACACAAAAAGCTACATGTGTATGATAAGGACTCCACAGCCAGCCACCCACCCTTGTTCATGGTCACCTTAGGGACTCCTGGGGATGCATCTGGGTGCACATCTTTCTACCTGAATGCTGCACATGAGCCTAGATGATTTTGAGTGCATGGACACGACAGCCTGATTGAAATCAGTTTGTTTTGAAATGAGGTTATCCCTTTCTATGGGATACTTCACTGGGCTTTACCATAATATTTAAACAAATTTTCCTACAATAGAATATGTATTGAATACAAGGAGAAATAAAGCCTTGGTCCTCTGCAAAAAAAAAAAGCCAGATGAACCCATATAAAGTCAATGCAGACTGAGAATAAAGCAAAGTGGAACAATAATTTATGAATTGTTCTCTGTGAGGGTAGTGAAGCACTGGAACAGAGAAACAGGATGGCTGCCCCATCCCTGGAAGTGCTCAAAGCCAGGCTGGATTGGGCTCTGAGCAACCTGGTCTGGTGGAAGGTGTCCCTGCCCATGGCAGGGAGAGTTTAACTAGATGATCCTTAAGATYCCTTCTGACACAAACCATTYTGTGACTCCATGAATTGGATATACACAAATAGGCAAAGTTTTGTAAGTAGAGCAGTGATTTTTACATTCCAGTAAAATATTTTATTCAAATATGAGATATATTTGCCTCAGGCTTTTACTAAGTTTGTACAAGATGGTTTGGTGCTCGTTCCAATTTTTAAGTGGACAGAAGACTCCAGGCTACAAATCTAATCACATTTCAAAATACATTTGCATGTACTTATTGCTGTAATTTTCACAAGAATTTCAGTTCAGTCTGATCACCTCGACAATGGCTAATTGGAACCAGCACAACCATACATCTATATTGCTACTTTTGCTGGGAAAATACTTTTGCAGAGTTACATTATTTGCAATATTTCTTGAGCRTGGCATATTTGGGTGGCAATAAACATTTCATTTCTGTAGCCTTCCAAGCTGTTTCATAAACTTTAATGGGGTACTTTGAACAAGCTATGAAAAAAATACAATCATCTGACAAACTGATCTCTCCTGTAAAATAAGTTGCAGAAGTCACTTACAGTGAGTAATATCTGGTGGGCCATATGGATCTGTCATGTAAATGGTGGTGGGCTTTCCAACTTTCAGATACACTACATCTGATGTGTTCTTCAGTATCGCTACTGCCTCTTCATGGGTAACTTCTTCTAAACTGTAATTATTTACCTTAAAAGAGAAATCAGAAAGGTAAGCTGTTATGCAGAAATAGACACAAAAATGACACACCCTTGCAGTTTTCAAAATGTTGGGAACATTGCTGTAAACAAAGTGCACTAAAGATTATAGAAGCGATACTGTTGCAAGGTAGAAAATACAGTTTTCTTAACATATGCATATTCAAAAAGTGATGTAGCAATATTTATACACAGAATCAAAATGGGCCAAGAAGGCAGTTGTTTTGACAACAGAAAAGTCCTTTGTGATGTTCTTTCACTGGTATAATCACTAATATAAAACCATATTTCATAATAATTTAATAATACCACATCAGTTACAGAAACTGTCAACWTTATCTGACCTAACAAAATGAACTTCCTAATTCTTCTCTGCCTCCATAGCAGAGAAATACCCAACAATACAAATCTTTCCATCACTGATATGACATTGACCTTTGAAATAATGAGAGGTAAAAAGTGTATACAGAGTGCCTATGAGGTCCAAGAATTTAAAAAAGGGCAATTCCAGATGGGTAAAAGGTATTTTTCAGTGTGAAAGTTTGTCATTTGGCTATAAGCACAAGATAAAGACATTGGAAAAGTAAGAGAATGCACTACTAGTTCTATGCTTTTTTTAGAAAAGAAAAACTCTTAAGCAAGGACAAGAGTAGAGAACTACAGATAAAATAAAGAAGGGAATGGTGGCCTTAAGCTTTGTCTATTTATGCTTTACTCCTACAGAAAGAAAATCAAAACAAAAGTGACAAGAAGTGGTTTATTGTAGAGGCATATAAAATTAATTCACATATAAATCCACTATATCCACTGAATGTCAACAGTAAGTGTTCTCCTGTAAACAGAATCATGAATGTTCCCTGCCCAACAAATATTAACCTCCTGAATGGAGAAATTATAGGATAGCAGGGGAAAGTAAAGGGTGTAGATCCAGSTTTCAAATGTGGTATAAGCCAACAGAAATAACAGATTCAGAGAATAYCTTGAGTTGGAAAGGACCCAYRGGGACCACTGAGTCCAACTCCCTGCTCCCTGCAGTGCTGCCTAAAACTGAACCATATGACTGAAAGCATCGTCCAGCCGCTCCTTGAATTCTGGCAGGCTTGGTGCTGTGACCCCTTCCCTGGGGAGCCTGTTCCAGTGACCTACATTTCACAGTGAATGTTGTATATGAAACATTTTATTGCCATTTAAATTGCCATCCTCTCCAGCTTCCACAGTTACTGCAAGGATTCCTTTTAAAGATTATGCAAGACAGAAGCAGACCTCCCTCCTCACTAAAGCATAACATAACAGTAAATCACAGAAAAAAAATTACATTCTTTCTAGGAATTTAGCATCAATAAATCTTCAGAAACCTAAATGTGAGAATAAGCAACTGCCAAAGGATTTGGCAACTGGAAGGAAACCRAACTATTATGAATCACTGCAGTACTTCATATCCATCACCACCAAGAAAGAATGATTGCTCTAGGACAGTTTTGCTGAATGTCAGGATTCTGTTCAAACTTCTTGCCTTGTACAATTCTCAGGTTTGGTTTTAAGGTTAATTAAAAGAGACAATGGCAGGTATATTATGATAATTTGACATGAARAGCAGTGACAGAGTCTAACACTCAGGAGGGAGTTGCTGACAGTGTATGCTGTGTTTTGACAGGTCTTCTATTTAAATAAAAATCTTATATGTAACTTCTGTCAATTTCTCTATTTTTCTTTGTTATGAACAGCAATACTTTACATATTCACCTTTAATAAATGCCTTAAATTAACAGGTTAGCAGCAAGAAGAATTGACTGAAATTAAGCCTTTGTTGTTTATGTATTTCGAAACTGACAAACACTTCAGGTTCACACTTTTAGAAATATGACCATGAGGTTATCCTTTACCTCTTCTCCTTCCCACACTGTCTGTACATTGGATCTACCTTTTTGTGTTTCATCATACAATTTTTTGAAGTGGAGAAAATCTCACATAATCTCACCCACTATACAGCTGCTGTAAAAAAAAGTCAAAAAAGACACAAAATGAAATATCTTAGCACTGTTTGGATTTTGAATTTTTGGGCTTTTTAGAAGTGAATAAAACAATTATGGCACTAATTGATTCGATGCAACTTGTTTTTTCAAAGATGTCGAATTTTATTTTTTTGCTGGTTGTTTTTTTTTGTAGATCCATAACAAGACACTTGGATGTCACAGTTGTGCAGTAAGAGGACAAACAGCCATTTCAGAAACAAAAAGTAAAGTATATAGCAAACTTATATTTGAYACAACAGGTCCTGTGTCTTCTCTCTCTGACAATACCTTTATGGACAGGTATTTTACCAACACTGTGTACAAATTATTGAAATCTGGAAGTCAAGACTTTAGGAGTCCAAGCAATTCTAAACTAAGATTTAATACCTATGCAGTTCAGCCTTATGTTTATCTTTATACACATAAAGATCCTAGAGTTCATGGCAGAGTTCATGCAAAATAATTGCTTTTGTCCCGGACTGCTGAGTTCTCAGTAGACAAAAAAAGGCAGATTCAATGTATACCAAGACAAAATAAACAWACAAACTTATTGATTCATCCATAAAAACGAAGATCCTCAGTGATGCCATAAGGTCTCTTTTAAGTAGGAGCTCTTTGAGAAGGAGATAAGATCACTTTCCTTAGTCATTTGCCAGCATCAGCTTAGAATTGCAGTACATAGAACATACATTGCATTTCCAGGATTCCTTCAGAAGGCAGTCATTGCTTTGGATCTACAATTCCCATTGATAATCTTGTGTGCATGCATCAACATATTTTCTACTTTTTAATCATAAAACAATGACCAAAAATAAAGACATCTTTATGTATTCTGGTATACAAAAACCTTGAATATCTAGAAGAATTATATTTTTCAGCCTCTTAGATATTACAGCAAGATGACTATAGTATTTAATTCTTTTCATAAGGAAGCCTTTGAATATTATTATTTAAAACACTGTGCCAGAGATGATGATGATAATAATTAGGGAAGATAATATTGTAGCTGTTTTTATGGCAGGATTTATAAATAGAGAAAAATCTATCTGAATCTTCAAGAAAGAATATTTCTTGAGCTCCTTCTTGTTTCCATAAAGGATTCCTATTTTAACAAGTACTAAATCTGACTTTTTCTGTGAATTTTAAATTCATCAGAGCAAAGCTTTACTTTCTCCTGTAGAGATGACCTTATTTATTTTTCCTTATAGCTTGCAAAAAAAGGGTTGAGCTAGAGGTAAAGAAGATAGAGAGTGGAAGATGTACCCAAAGAAATCAAAGTGTATATTGTAGGAAATCCTCCGAGGGGCTGAATTTTAGTGCAGAAGGGCTGACTTTAATGTGAGTGGGTAGAATGGGTACTACATGCCAACATTCTGGATCTAAGAAGCCAATTTAAGTAGCAATTAATTAAGGGGAAAAAAAAAAAAAAACCTAAGGCAAATGCTGAAATTTATTTATCTGATTGGTCAGTTTAGTCACAAAATTGCATATTTAAGACACAAAATGCTGTGACAGGAGCCAAAGAAAAGGAGTCAAAAGGAAAACAGGCATGGAATAAGTGGGGYTTTTCTAATGGGATAAATTCCATAAAGTGAAAATTTAATGCAAACAGCACCTGTAGAAAAAAAAAAAATAGAAATATTTTTCTTTAAATAGAAAGGATGTGATACAGTGACACACTGATAATATGAGAAACCATACGGGAAAGAAATAATATAGCAGTAGAGAAGGAAATTAAAGATACAAGTCCAATCAAAGAGGCTATTTGAGTGATGGGGGAAATCAATAAGAAACAGTACCAAAGAGATATAAAAAGACTGGGGTGGATTTTTTCCTAAATAGCATAATCAAGGCAATGAAGTATAAACCTAAGCAAGAATATTTTATTTGGAAGTTTTCCTAGATTCATATTGGAAATCAAAAGCCACAAAAAGCAGCTAGAAAARCTTAGAATCCCCAAAATGACTGTACAAGTCCTCTAAAGAATAATTTCATTCACAACAATATAAGCTGATATGAGAATAAGAGCTCTGGAGGAATAATTCTGTCTTATTTAATTTTCCTTTTTTTAAAGGGGATTTGTTAATTTCCTCTATTGATTTAGGCTAAGAAAAATTTGATTCACTCAGTGAATGAGACAAAAGGGTTGATCTTTATCTTACCAGTGGTAATGTTTGCTTTTCTGTAATATTCAACTTTTCATTCAGACAGTGGATTTTCCTGGGTGAACATTTGCAGGTAAACACCTGCAACCTGCCAGCTGTAAATCTAGAATGCTGATGGCCTTTTTAAAAACTCACTCACTTAAAAGGCTGCAAAAAGTGAAATGCTTTCCAGTGCTGAAGACTAATCATTTGTACTAAGGATGTAAATGTTTGCATTAACAAAATACTTATAATGCCATGGACTTGTGAGTTGCATAAATGCTGGACTGTTTTTTAAAAGATGATCCCACAAGGACAGACAAAATCACTTTAAAAGAACACCTCTGATCAGAACCAAATCTACATGAATCTTGAATTACATGCTGTGATTACTTTAATACAAATGTCATCCTGCATTCATATGCAATCTGAAAAAAACAGATACTGATCAAGGACCCTATAGGAACACATCAACAATTGCACAATCACARCCCCACTGCAGTCCTATGAAATTACCAGAAAATTACACTTTTTTTTTTTTAGAATGGAAGTGGGAGCAAGGATAAATTTCTGAAAAGGCAAGTGATTCCTGTTTCTTCCTCTTGTTTTCATGAAGAAAACAGAACAAAATTCAATTTCTTGTTATATGCAATCAGTGATCTCTCTGACTATGTGGGCCAAGAAGCAACAGGATATGGCCTAAACATGGAAGGGTATTTGGCACAGGTGACATATTTTAGAAAGGCTCATAGTTATAAAAGATAAATATTTACTTAAATTTTCTTATAAACTCTAATGGTATTTGTATTTTCCATGAAAAATGTCTTGCTTCTAGCTACTWGTGTTGCCATGCACTAGTAAAACCACACAGTTTTAGACTGATTTCTCATGTTTTCATTCTCTAGATAACAAACTTTTYCAAAGTAAGATGGTGGAATGAGATAAAAGAAAGCAATTATTACTTGAGTTGTAATAACTGAAACCATTTTTCAGCTTTTCCTGATCATTACTAGCAGTGACCTTGAAAAGGTGAGAAATGCATCACGTTTGAGGGTGACACTTCATTTCACTGCGAGATACTGGAAGGCAGGGCTGCCACAAACTGGAAGAAGGGCCTGCAGAAGATTTTATGATGATCAGCAGGAAGAAACAGTAAATCCTGCCCCCATCAATAGCACTGGGCTGGGCACTGACAGCCTGCCAGCAGTTCTGTGGAAAAGTGCTTGGGGCTCCTGATGGATGGCAAGCTGGGCATGAGCCAGCTGTGTGTCCTGGCAGCAAAGGGGTCAACAGCATCCTGGGCTGGATGAGCAGGAGCAGAGGTTGGAAAACCAGCAAAGCATTATTCCCTAACAGTTGCCACTTATTGGGCAGCACCTGGAAACCRCATTCAGTTTTGATTCCTGCAAAAATAACAAAAGGATGCAAGCTGAAAGGTATGCTGCTGAGATGATTGGGGACAAAGCACTGAGGCGAGGAGAAAATGAGGGATCTTTGCATTTTCAGCCTGGAGAAGGGGTTCTTCTGAAGACAGTTGATAACAGACCCCCAGTGCTTGCAGGAAGACCATCAAGGCAGAGCTAAGCTTTTCAGAGTCACATGCGGTAACAAGATGAGAGACAGCAGGCAAATGTTGAAACAGGAGAGGGTTAAACAGGTTATCAGGAAAAGTATTTTTCTCAGGAGGACAGCTTAGCAGTGGAATAGATTCACCAGAAAGGCTCTGCAAACTCTATCCTTGGAGATTTTTGAGATTCAATTGGGTAAATCCCTGAGCAACCTCGTCTGGCCCTATAGCTGACCATGAATCACCCTGTTGGTCTGTGATGCTCTGTCTGTGGTTTACTTTTCCTCCTTTCCAGTGCAGAGAGAAGCAACCTCACTGAGACACCCACTGCACTGGGATTCTCAYCACTGGCATTACCACTGATAGGAGACATTAGCACAGGCATTTCCACCACAACACAGGGAGGGAGTGTTTTTCTCCTAGATGTAAGTCTTCAGAGAAGAGCTCTGGTCTTTTCCTTTCATGTATATCTAGAAAAACTACTCAGTTTCTGCTTTAAACACTCATGCTTTCACCAGTAATTTTCCATATGGGTATCAGGATTATTGTACAATGTGCAAGTGCTCATGTTAATAAAGCTTAAGTTCAGGCTTAGTGCCACAGAAACAACTGCCTAACATGCCCTTGTATAGATTTCATAATAACCACAATATATTGTTTACGCAATATTCTGAAATGCTTAACACATTATTGGCAATCTGCATTTAGTAACAGTAGGGTCATCAAGCTGCAAAATGCTCAGGTGGTCCCTTTTTGTTTTATGTTTCAATATTAGTTTTGCTTTTGCATCTACACTTCTATTGCATGTTAAATTTAAATTAATTTGATTTGCATGTTCTTTGGGATCTGAAAGCATTTCACACAAAATTATCTGAAAGCAGATACAAAAATTAAACAAGCTCCCCAGCAGCAGCTGAGAATTCCATAAGGATGACAAATTCTTTTAAATTTTATAGAGAAATGATGCAAAAAAACCGAAAGATCAAGAAAGGATGTACTGCTGAGAAGGAAAAAACAAAAAGGAGGAATTGTTCAAATGTATAATCAATAAGAAATCAGTGAAGCAGAAGTAGGACTCTATAAATGACAAGGGTAATATTGTGTTGAAACACTGCCAAAAGAAAGTAATTAATTCTTTCACTCACAATTCATAAAGGAACATGAAGTTAATGCCATGAACTGACACATAATTCACAAATTAGGATAGAAAAATACTGAAGGTACAGAAATGATAAACAAATCAGGGTGCCTTGCTGGAGAGAATCAGGAAACATTGCTGCAATCTGCATTAATTTTAAAAATAGATTCTGGTTTTGTAAATGTATCTCCAAATATGTAATGATGAAGATATACAAAGAGTAAGCTGACTAGGATTTTCATATTCAACAGTGAAAAATTTGGCCTGAAGGTACATAACTAGAGGAGAACAATATTTTCAGTGATTTTTTTTTGCTCATTTTACATGCAGTGATAAAAAGAGACAACACTAAGTAAAGAAATGGTCCAGACTGAAAGGCAAGAAGAAAAAAGACATTAAACACAGTGCAAATGACCTCTGCTCACTTTGCAGAAGTATAAATTTGTCACAATGAAGAAACCATCTATATCTGACTGCAGTGAATCACAGGTTTATAGCTGAGATGCTTAATACATTAATCCTATAAAAGTATGAGAATAATTTATTTATGCACAGTGGTATATAAATAAATTGTATTTCTATTCAAATTCATTCTCATGAAATTATACTGGAGAGGGTGAATGTGGGGGGTTTGAACCTATTTGGTTTTCTTTTTAATATATATACATATGCAAATATATTTACTATATCGTGAATTGGAAGAAATTCAGAGTAAAGTCACAAAATTTACAGATGACACAAAACCCACAAGGAATTCTCATCAGGGTAAAAACCAACAATGAACTGCTGAACAGAAGCAGATTTGCAGTAAGTTTCAAAATAACTGAAGTGCAAATTTGGCAAACAAAAATATACACTTCTACAGCAAAATAAGCCAAAACTTCATTATCCAACTGTGACTTGAATTTTATTATGCTGAGATTCTGCAAAGAAAAAATGTCAAAGAAAAGTTGAGTTCTATTTTCATTGTGCTTTGATTTTGCTAACACCGGTTGATCCTTAAGCTGTTTTATCTATCCACTTGGGTTAATACAAAAAGACAGTCACCAGCCCAACAACCAAGTGTCTTTCCAGTACTGTTCAACACTCTGCATAAAATGAACAGTCATCTTCAAATGTGACTGGAATGCAGTGTCCTTAGCCAAATAAAGAAAACCTCAATTAGGCACAGCCTTGCAGGCAGCAAAAAAGGTTGTGGTGATTCTTTATTGCTTAAATATCCCATSACAAAACAGGATTACTGCAGTGCAAGTTTTTTCATTGCACTTTTTCAAAATATATTTCTCTACCTGCTGAAATCTATGCAAATGCATTGACATGAATACAGCTTGACATGGATTACCTTTGCTAATTCACCGGGGTCAGGATTTCCCCCTCAATGTTGAATTAAATGAACTCTGTGAGTGGGAAAGCATTATCTACAAGAAACAATGAACCAGCACAGCAAGTAGCAGGAAGAATTTCCTGAATTGAGTTCCATCAAAAGAATACACTTCCTCAAGGAAAAATTTGGAAAATGTTCWGGGTTCTTTTTAACATCTATATGGAATATATACATAAAGCGTTCTTACATGTACTGAAATGTAGGTAGTAGCAGTATGTAGACTAATCCTATAAAAATCTGAAAGAATTAATTTATTAAAATTATAGATCTACTATGTGACTGTATGTAGTCCAGTGACAGTGCCTACATGAGAGTCAGTTATTGTTTTTGGACATCTTTCAAATTGCTTACAACAAACAGTAGAATTAGTGCTACCTTAACAAACAGCTTGTCTCAAATCTTTTAAGTTTTATGGTGAATTTTGACTTGTTGATTACGTGTATAATACATTTATTCTCTTCTCTGTAAAAGTTTATTAAAGCAATATAGTTCATTGCCTTCATAAAATGTTACCTTTCCGAGGAATGCTTTTTTAATTTCAGACTCAGAAATACAGAAAAATAATAGGAAAAATTAAGATTATGGAAATATAACTTATTATGGCAGTATTGGTTACCTCCAGGAAGATGTATGGGGAATGAAAGTMTTTTTATGATTTTTCAGCTAAATAAATAGGATTAAAATTCGTTATACTTACCATAAGAAGTCTATCTCCAACCTGCAATCTCCCATCTTTTTGTGCAGCTCCCCCATCAATAATCTTGGTGACATAAATGCTGTTGTCCCCGGGGATGTGTTGGTTTCCTACCCCTCCTGCAATACTGAATCCCAGACCTGGAAAAGATATWGTAAACAAAACATTAGGAATACAACATATAACATTAAAGAGAACTGGAAGAGAARCATATATACTGAAACCTTTTGAGAATTTTTTACAGAAACACAGATAACACATTCTTTGACTTTCCCTGAAGCRTCAGGGACAGAACTAAAGTAGGGAAATTCTTTGCCATGACAATTATAGGAAGGTAGAGGCAAAAATGACTAAACCAGTGATGATTCTGTATGCCCTCCTCACTGGGGTCCAGAGCAGCCTACATCAAGTTATGGCTCAGCTTGACTTGACTAGCAATAAAACTCTGAAACTTGGAGTTMGTTTTGTTAAATATTGGTATAAAATACATCACCATCTACCAGAACAAAATGAAAGGTGCCCAGGTTGCCCACACAATTTGAAACATACCTGGAGAGGTCCAGCACAAGTTTTGCAAGTTTAMGTAGCACCACAGTCAAGGTTTAGTGAAAGTAAAAGTGAAAAGGGGCAGATGTTTGATTTAAAGTGATTTTTTTTCTAGGACTAGCCCAATCTTTGGCTATGGATACATAAAGTAAGAAAGCAATAGTCCTTTGTACATATATAACTCCTATACAGTAATCTGTGAAATTCCTAGACTCAAAGACCCACAATTTGGAACAATATCAAAAATACATGTTGATATGACTCAGAAAAGGAAGGCAAAATAAGTAAAGATTGAGGGCAGAAAACAAGACAGTTTGCCCCTTTTCCTGTTTTTCTTATCCTCTAACACATTGCATAAATAGACAAATCATTGCTTTAATTCTTAAGAACATTTTTATCCCTCAATCAGAGAAAAGACAGAAATGACTGTGCTTGATTTCCATAAAAATTAACTTCATACAGCTAATTTTTCAGAGATTATAGAGCTAATGGGAGCTTCCACCAGAACAAAGAAGCTGTTACTGACAATAATCTGCTTAGATTATTGCTCCAACTAGGGATTTCTCTTTTAGCTGTACAGAAAACCAGTTATACCTATTTAGAGAGTAATCATTGGTTTTATCTATGAGATCTGTGCTGTTCACTCATTCCTAAAAGAAACATGTTGGCAATAGCTGTAGCCTGAGCAGTAAAATGCAGCAGTAAAAAGTAAATTGCCTAAAATTTGGCATTTCATCACAAACTCAACGGGGAGACTGCTTGGGCAATAAAAATTAAGAGAGAGTATACTTAATGCACACAACTTTTTTTTTAGAAGCTGTATGAGTACAGAGATAACGGGAGTTTTGAGTGGATTAAATATTGTTAATTTTTTTCTCCCACATTATTTTTACTTGATCATTATTTTAGCTTTAAAAAAATGTAAGGTCAGGTCTCATAATGGACTACTTAATGGATAGTGCCAAACCAGTAAATTACAAAAAGAAACCTTTGAATTTATATCTCAAATTGAAACTCTACTTAATTAATTGACGATTAACAATACACATGAAGTTAATTCAGAAGTATGGGGTAATTAAAATAAAACTTTATTGAATTTGCAGCCAAAGCTATCAATCACTGTTACGATTAATGTGCTACTGTCACTACAAGGATAAAAAGATTATGATTTTTACAGCATGGAAGATTTTTTTCCTGGGAATCCTAACAAAGGAAAGAAATTCTAATAGAACATCAAGAATGCAAATTTTCTTTAAAACACTATTTGTGGACAAGGAACAATGATTGAATAATATTTCTTGGTGGCATAATTATATCAATTTGATCCAAACCTCATCTGTAAAGGTTTCTACCAGTAAAGATCTGAGGGTATTCCAGAACAAYGGTGGAATCAAATGAGTGGGCTAGACCTCAGCCAATGGACTTGAGCCCCATTGCTCACCCAGGGCATGACCTTGGGAAGATAAGGTTGTGATGTGCTCTGATCCCCTTCTCTCCCCATTGGTGACACTGCACATTTCTAAAGGGCAAGGCCATTTCTGGACGCACAAGTGGTCTGTATTTTGTACAAAGGGGTTCCTAACTCAGCCTGGTCCTGCTGCAATACAAGCAAGTGGTAGCCATGACAATCACTTGCATTTTCTGCAGTGCTGAGTGGGGTGCCTGGCTTGCTGTTCTGTTTGYAAGGTTGTAGCACAACAGACGTGTGAAACCATACAACAAAACAGCACTATCACACGCTACTCCCATGACAAAAGTGAAGCTGACAATAATGGAAGGAGTAACTTTCTTTACTTGTCTGCATAAAATTTAGATGTGATACAATGTGTGGGGCTACACTTTATTTGTAAGCAGGGCCCGCCTTTGGGCATCCAAAAAACCAGCAGTGATCATGGAAAGGTTTAAAACAGCTGAACAGGATGGGGTAACATTGTGGGGAGAAAAGGAAGAGTGGGTAGGAGAGAAAATTGAAAAAGAGAAAAACTTYCCATATTGATCAATAACGATTTAATTTCACTGCTTACTCATACCTGCCTTCTTTAAAAGATTTCTTCTTGGAAAGAATGGGGAATGGAACAATGGACCTTTTATTTAAATGACTTCTGCTAATTGCTAAGGCACAAGGGATGTGTGCTACACAAAAACTTTTGGATAGGATTTATATGGTCAAATGACATCMGACAACTATGCTAATCATTCATGCTACCATACAATAAATGAAAATTCATTAAGAGCTTTTAAAGTATGATTCATCTCATCTCAGTGAGACATCTGAAAGAGATGAGGTGAATCACACTTTTGGTTCTGAAAGGTTGGGGTCTGGATGTGGGAAGAGGTGAGTGGGAAGATCAGTGCTATGAAAGCTCACAATCACAGTTCATCTAGACTGAAGGCTCCTGTTTTAAGACTTCAGAAAGGTTTGCTCAATCCTGATGTGCATCCCTGGTCACTCACTACATCAGGTTAGTCTCATATCAGACTCTTAATCTGTTTTAAAAGGAGAGAATTATTCAAAGAAGTGGGAAAAATGGAGCAAATGGTCTTTTCCATTTTTCCTCTGAATTTTAAAAAAACCTGATATAAAACAGCATATTTAATTGCAGAACCTTTTTCTTATTGACTCCTCTGATTAGGAAAACATTTCCATCAGAACACAGAAGATCAGGAGTTATCACTTCCTCTTTTGCTGATGTGCAATCTGCTTCACAGAAACAGCTGAGGTTGGACAGAGTGCTCAAACTCCTCACAACAGGAAATAGATGGAGGATAAATTCAGAATGGAATTGAGGAAGAAATGTTTTATGATGATGGCAGTGAGGSACTGACACAGGTTTCTCTGAAAAGTTGTGGATTCCCTATTCCTGGGAGTGTGCAAGGCCAGGCTGAATGGAACCTTGAGCAACCTGGTCTAGTRAGCAACAGGGCTGGACCTTAAAGATTCCTTCCAACCCAAGCTATTTTTATGATTCTGACTACTTCAAGAGGGAAAAAGAAAGAGAAGTGGATTTAATACTGGTGCACATCCAAGTCAAACTCAGCTTCACTCAAAATCACTGAAGAGGATAGACCCATGTAAGACTGACTAAATGTGTAAACTAACAAAGTTGAGTCAAACCTCATTTCCTTCYATTTCCACTGGATATGTGTTTGTAAAATCCATGAGCTCCACAAATGCTGATCTCTGATCCTGTGAATAATAATGTGTAATAATTCCATGAAACAGCAGACACTTCTGGTATCAGAAAGAGGAAAAGTGACAGGAACAAAAGTTACTCCATCAAAACCGGAAACTTCAGAAAAAGATGCTATTATTAATAAGTCAAAGATATTTAGTCATATCTTTCCCTGGGATTTTTAGCAAAAACACATTAAAATATTTTACTATTTACATCTACCTTGCATTATTTGCTTTACCAGATACATGTTTTAAATGCACCACAATTTTATTAAAAACATAYGTTCTAACTACTTTTCTAGTAAAAGTAAGCTTGAAGGCTCCCCATATAATTAGTCCAGCAAAGATGGACAAATAATAATAATTAATAGTAATAATAAKAAGAATAARATCTCCKTTTAAGACACTGTGGGTGAATGAAACTGCAGGCATAACACTTTGCAGTAACCAGAGAGAGAGAACAAAAGACTAACTGCAGCTGTGTAATGTCAGCTTTCAAATGAGAAGCAAAGTTCTACAAACTCAGTCATAACCCCAAAATGGATGTTGCATTTTGCTACTATCCAAGTAGAACCAAGCTTATTTTAAATCAGCAAACAGAAATAGCAAACAGCAAGCAGCAARCAAATCCAACATGAGTTTCACAGCTCCCAGTATGGAGAAACCCAAGAAAGCAATCACTTAAGTCATAACCTTAAAATACAGTTAAGAAGTGTTTGATTTTCAGGTAGTTAACCAAAAGAATGTCCCTTACTGACATAAAATATACAATTCCTAATTTCTAGCCCTACCAAGTATACCTTTCCTCATAACTGACCTGTGAGCATAGACTAACTTGGTGGAACAACAATAGCAGAGGACTAGTAACAGAAATATCATATTAACAAATGAAATGGGAATGGGAGTATCAATGCAAGCACTAGAAGAAAGACCAAAAGTAAGAGAAATCATGTGTATTGACAGTACAGAATATTCCAAGCAATAAAWATCAAAATGAATCATTTCTGTCAAGCCTGGACAGAATGCCTGGACTCTGTGAGACCACAGCACAGGTGTCTTGTCAGCAGAAGACCTTGCACCATGACAGTGGGATGCTGGCAGCAAGATTACAACATTTGACGTCTGCCATYCTCTGGCCTTTAAGCCAGAGAAGCAGATCATATCAATAAAAACTGTGCTTATTAAATGAAGAAAATCAGCAAATGAGCAGCCCCCTTGTCTAAGACTGAATAAAGGATTATTCAATATAAAGGACCATCCACAACAACAGTAGACGCCTACGGAGCATAAATAATTTCACAAAAAAATCAGTCAGTCCATGGCTGCTAATCAAGAAAATRCCAAGAGATGTGGTAAGGGTTTGATGTCCTTTGTGTCACACAGAAGTGAGCCAGACCACCTCCGCACACGCACCCTGGG